TCCGGTCCCTGTATGACCGGAGCCAGAGCTGTGTTCGCATTGCCGGCAGTAAGTCAGACCTGTTCCCGGTGAATGTTGGCCTCCGACAGGGCTGCCCTTTGTCACCGGTTCTGTTCACTGTATTTATGGACAGAATATCTAGGCGCAGCCAGGGGTCGGAGGGGGTCCGGTTCGGGGACCACAGGATTTCATCTCTGCTGTTTGCGGACGATGTTGTCCTGTTGGCTCCAACGAACCAGGACCTGCAGCATTCACTGGGACGGTTTGCAGCCGAGTGTGAAGCGGCTGGGATGAGAATCAGCACCTCCAAATCTGAGGCCATGGTGCTCGACCGGAAAAAGGTGCCCTGCCCTCTTCAGGTGGGTGGAGAGGTCCTTCCTCAAGTGGAGGAGTTCAAGTATCTCGGGGTCTTGTTCACGAGTGAGGGAAGAATGGAGCGTGAGATTGACAGGCGGATCGGTGCAGCGTGCGCAGTGATGCGGTCGCTGTATCGGACCGTTGTGGTAAAGAGGGAGCTGAGCCGAAAGGCAAAGCTCTCGATTTACCGGTCAATCTTCGTTCCCATGGTCATGAGCTTTGGGTAATGACCGAAAGAACGAGATCGCGGATACAAGCGGTCGAAATGAGCTTCCTCCGCAGAGTGGCTGGGCGCTCCCTTAGAGATAGGGTGAGGAGCTCAGTCACACGGGAGGAGCTCGGAGTAGAGCCGCTGCTTCTCCACTTCGAGAGGAACCAGTTGAGGTGGCTCGGGCATCTGTTCCGTATGCCTCCTGGACGCCTCCCTGGGGAGGTGTTCCGGGCACGTCCCACCGGGAGGAGGCCCCGCGGAAGACCTAGGACACGCTGGAGGGACTATGTCTCTCAGCTGGCCTGGGAACGCCTTGGGGTCCCCCCGGACGAGCTGGAGGAAGTGTGTGTGGATAGGGAAGTCTGGGCGTCTCTGCTTAGACTGCTGCCCCCGCGACCCGGCAACGGATAAAGCGGAAGAAAATGGATGGATGGATGGATGAATGACCCTCGGGCAGTATAAGAAGCACTGTCCTGGTCTCTGCCATTTCTGCCATTTTTTATGCATTCTCATTGGTTCAAATTAGCTGTCACTTAATAAAAGCGGAACAGTCACATCACGCTCTTCCTGGTCCATGTTTTGCTTTTCATACACTCCGATGTGCCTCACTTAGGCCACTTGACCCGCAATGTGTGTCTCCAGGCATTATCTGGGTGTGTGGTGCGCTGTTTCACCAACATTGTTGGTGTTGTTTTACATGGTTGTCAGACCAGAACCATGTTGGGACAACGTAGAGGGGGACGATTGCCCTTGGCCTGCCTTTGTGACCGGCTTCTACCTACCATCGACTAACTGTATGTCTCCAACATGGACACGCATGTATACATTATATTTAATGGACAAATATAGATATGTGTAAATGAATATGTGTGGACATGAATGTACATTTGCATGTAGGTTTATGTGTATACTGTGTGTGTACATACTTTTATGTACGCATATCTGTAATGCATTTAACATTTTGTTAAACACATGGACATTGATGAAACTGAACAGGACTGTACTGTATGAGAAGAAACGAAAAGATGAATGAACAAATAAATGACAAATGTGGAAATGGGATCTTGGCAATTAAAACAAAAAAATTATACAAATATGTGTCCGACAGAATAATTTGCCATGTGAGTACTCGTTTTTCACTTTTTCTGTCTGGGAAAATAAGAGGCAAAAAATACATGCTTGTAAAAACTAGTGATAGAACCAAACTGTTTTATGAGCAAGTTATTTTTTTGTGGTTTGAAAGTTAGGTTCTCCAGTTAGTCAAGGCTACATGAAGGTTTACATAGTTTCCATTCGTCAAACAAAGTCATCCAAGCCCAGCTGGCTTAACCACTGAGGCTGCCATGATACTGACTGTATGGCATGTTTCGTCATCACAAGTCTGTGTACTTTACATTCATTACAAGCGTTAATCTTTTGACAGCTCTGAGATCCGCGCTGAAACTTATAGCAGCTCTCTGGGGAGTGTTTCTGTGGCGTGTCAGGAGAACTCCACGACACCGTCAAGTCCGCGCCGCACACTTCTCCTTCCCCTGAATAATTGAAATACACAGCCTTGAAATTTTAATACAGATGTGATTTGACAGTGCGTGGTTAAAGTTTGCATTTGGTGTATGGCACTGAGGGGAAACAACCAAGTTTAGGCAGGTAGGCTGGTTTTATATGGGCACTGGTTTGACCTACTTGTGCACATCAAGCAGATTGGAGAGGTTTAATTGAAGATGGCATGTGTCCGGTGCTCGTGTGTCCCCAGATAACACGCCCATATGCCTGCGTCGCCTTGTTTAGCCTCAGCACTATCTCAAATCCACTTTTCACACCAGGAAAGTGTGGCTGGTGGAACGTTAGCTGTCAGCACTTAATCTCCTCTTTTGCTAAGTGTGCAGCGAGGAGCTCTGCAGATCGTGTTTGGTGTCATGTTAGTGTTATGTCTGGGCACACATGTTTACACTGTCTACTACACTGTGGGAAGGGCCGCCGTGTGCACATCAGCTGCAGCTCACATAGCCACAATGTTTACCAAACGAGAATGTATTTGTTTGAACTAAAATCTCTTCATGGTTTTGCTCTTTTTTGATGAAATATGGGTTTTAAAGTGATTGTCTAGAGTTTGTCAGAAAAAAGAGAGAGAGGTACATGATTTGAAAAAAATAACCGACCAAAGCTCCCTTTTCCTTTCTGATTGGTCTACACCTATGTTTCCGTAACAATCAATCAACATATTTAATGTTAATCGGAGAACACATTATACATATGCATTATTAATACACATGCACAGAGGTTTTCAGAATTATCTATTAACGATTTCATGACAAAAATAATGTTTTAATGCACAACCCGGATGTAGCTATTAACGTTGATTGAACATTATAGGACACATCTGCAGAGGATCTGATTATGGACATAGGTTCAGTATATAAATAATTATGGATATAGGTTCAGTATATAAATGATTATGGACATAGGTTTAGTATATAAATGATTATGGACATAGGTTCAGTATATAAATGATTATGGATATAGGTTCAGTATATAAATCATTATGGACATAGGTTTAGTATATAAATGATTATGGACATAGGTTCAGTATATAAATGATTATGTATATAGGTTCAGTATATAAATGATTATGGATATAGGTTCAGTATATAAATGATTATGTATATAGGTTCAGTATATAAATGATTATGGACAGTATATAAATGATTATGGATATAGGTTCAGTATATGGACATAGGTTTAGTATATAAATGATTATGGACATAGGTTCAGTATATAAATGATTATGTATATAGGTTCAGTATATAAATGATTATGGATATAGGTTCAGTATATAAATGATTATGTATATAGGTTCAGTATATAAATGATTATGGATATAGGTTCAGTATATAAATGATTATGGATATAGGGTCAGTATATAAATGGGTCACCCCACACGGATGTTCAAATTTGTAATTTATTTAGAGTTCCAGACTATCACTTTAGCATGTCTTTTTTATGTTTTTTCACCATGTCGTCTCTTTCTATTCCTGGTTTAGTTATATTTTCAACACCAATGACAACCAATAACAATATAAAAATCATCCCTATTTATCTTTTGTTTGAGGTACAGACTCAGAAGTACCCTGACTTCCATCTCTTTAGAGCTGGGGTCTCTAACTTTCAAACCACAAAACAACTTAACTTTGTAATAAAATCCATCTAACTATAGTTTCTCACTTTCAAAACAGTTTGGTTCCAACACTAGATTTCTCAGTCATGTTTGTTTGGCCTCTGTCACATCTTTAGATCAGTTTTTTCAGACAGAAAGGTGAAAAAGGGAGGACCACCCTCACTCAGGGCTCTTTCTTACTTGCTTTCTAATAAGATAAGATAACTCTTTTACTTTTACACGACTCTTTCAGTTGGAATGTATGAATGAATTTTAAATATAGTGCTAAAATAAAAAAACAATATCAAAGTTAAACTAAATGTAGTTAGATCATTTAGAAAAGCGAGCTTGCCACCAGGACAGTAGGAATGCACCTTTAAAGTGAAACTTTAAACTTTTGGAAGACAAGCACTAGTCAGATCTGCCCATGCTCGCCCCCACAGCTTACTGATTGGTCAAAATTAATTAATTAAAATCCTTGAGGCCCAACATCATTTGTTAAACTCAGTCCTTCTCAAATAGTGGGACGGGCCCCCGAGGGACGGAAAACATGCCATCTTTTCTACACATACTAGAACGCAATTCCACATCCTCCTTTTCCGGCGGAACAGTTGCAGCCACTTTGTAGTGAATGACAGTGACTCCACATCCCCTGTTCCTCTCCACTCCAGCGGCCTCCAAAAGTTTGCTCTGAGGATCTTGTCCCCCTGCGTGCGTCAGATGCATCACCAAAGTTCAGCTCACTTCAAATGGGAAAGACAACGAGAAGATAAAAATCCTCGTTTATAAAGTAAATGCAGTCAGTGATGTGTTGATCCGATCACTGATGATGGTGATTTAATGCACTTGATATTTCAGTCTCAGCGTTCTCTGAACTCTGCCTCTGCGAAGACGAGGAAACTCATTTATGGAGCTCCTTGAAATGGAGAGAGGGAAAGATCAAGGCAGGGGACTGACCACCAATGCACCTATGGTCAAAATAATTGAGAAGCTCATGTTTAACTATCCTCCTCGAGCTAATTGTTTTAGTCACAGTTATGCCAAGGAAAGCGACCTGAAATATATTTCTATTGATAAGTACTTACTGTACATAGCAGAACAGTGTCACATGGTCAGAAATATACGCTCTTTTAAAAATTAAATACAAGTTGTTGACATCATCTTTAAGTGAATTGTGGGGTTTTCACAAATGTTTTTTCAAAGAGAAAAATATTCACAATGTCACAAAAGCCAAAAAATAGTTATTTAATGTATTATTCTTTTTTATCTTGACGTTGCATGACCACTCTCTGTGTAGCTCTGCACGTCATTCCAGCCACATCTCTTCTCTGCATCCTCTCTCTTCCTCTCTGTTGGCGAGGATGCGTCCCGTCAGACTTGCCGCAGACTGGCAGAGTGTTGATGGGGATGTCACTGGGACTACAGCGCCTTCCTTCCCCTCGCTCTTGTCCTCCTCTGGCTGACAGACAAGGTCGGGGAATCACAGCGCCTGTATCTCCCCGTTCCTGACAGCCTTCCTCTGGGATACAAACCCTGGACAACCCTGCACTCCCCATCACCAATTAATATTGCATCACCATTTTCTAATCTGCTCTGGGCGCGTGCTGCGATAGGGCCACCTGACTTCCCCCAGCCTCCTTCACTGTCAGAAAAGAAACGGCCAATAGCAGGAAAACAGATTACCCAGGATGCCATGCTCGTCCCCTCTGTGTTTTTGTGTGGTGGTGATTTGTCACAGTTTGGGATCTTGATTTATTTTATTTCAGATGTTTTCTTGCAGGGCTCCCGCATAATTTTCTGTTTTTCTGCACTCTAGTTTAACTCACCGTGAAGGGCTTTTGAGTGGATGTATTTCAATTGAATTCATTTTATGGACTGCTGGAGTGTCAGACCTGGCTGTTAGCATTCGGTAACAAGGTGTACATTTCAGAACATCTTCTTTCGCCGTTGCAAAGATGTCAAATGTGTGGTTTTGCGGCTCACTTTGCTCACTGAACATATCGTTTAGGAAAGTGGGATGCATCGGAAGTGAAATCTTAAACATTTAGAAATCTTAAAACACAAGAGAGATGCAGCACGTCGTTGCTGGGTATAAAAAGTGTTGTTTGAGGAGAGTTATGTGCGTGTGACCTGCTCTGGGTCAGCAGTGGCCCCGTGTGACCTCCTGTACGGGACACAGGTGCTGCTGCAGTGTCACCTGGCCTCAGCTTAAGCCTGATGGATCTACAGAGGGCCAGCCGAGGTGGGACGCACGCATCTGTTCAAGCTGTGTAAGTGTGGACACGAAAACAACCGAGAGCATACTGACCATGCTGTTAGTGTCCTTCGTATAAAGAATATGTAAAACAAGTTAAATTAAAGCCGCAAGCGGCGTCAAACGGCCCTCGCCGCACCGCGCGACTCCCCGCACCGCGCGCACCACCCCGTTCCACGCCGCCCCGCACCAAGCCACCCCGCACCACGCCGTCCCGCATCACGCCGCCCCGCACCAAGCCGCCCCGCACCAAGCCGCCCCGCACCAAGCCGCCCCGCACCAAGCCGCCCCGCACCAAGCCGCCCCGCACCAAGCCGCAACGCACCGCTCCACAACGCCCCGCACTACGCCGCACCACACCGTACCACGTAGCACCGCGCATAGGATGTGGCGCCGCCGTGTGATGATTGGTTCCCGTAGCCATAGAAGAACTTAGTCAAATTGTAATGAATATGATTATTAGAGCTGGTTTGGCTCCCCATGTAAACTTTGAATCAGTCTGTAGGGGGCGCTAATGGGCCAATTTCAAATATTTCACTTTCACCTGACCTAAACCCTGGAGTTGAACAATGGATTCAAGTTTAATGCAAATCAGTCTTTGTTTGTGCAAACGGGGAAAAAATTTATGTTGTCAAAAACAGCCAAAAAACCCTCACATTTTGCCGTTCCGCTTCTCAAACAACGTTTGACTGATTAAAATTCCCTGAAGTAATTATGAAGGTAAATGTGTTGAGATGATTTGGAACAATTTTGAGGCCAATCGGTGAAACGGCCGAGGAGGAGTCGCTTTCCAACCAACGTTTATGAAAATGATTGGTTTTCATGTTTCCATTTTGCAATGAAATTTCATGGGCTTCCTGTTTGTCAGGGGGCTTAGCCATAATAACATTTTTCCCATGTCTTGACTTAAGGAACATGTGTTCCAAATTACATGGTTCTACGACAATTTTGACCTCAAACCCCTCCCATAGGCATTTTTAATATGGCTGTTGTAGGTGGCGCTATAGAGCCAATTTCAGAATTTTAACTTTCAAATGACCTAGACCCAAGAGTTGAACCATGGATTCAAGTTTTGTGCAAATCAGACTTTGTTTGTGCAAACGGAAGCAATTTTTCTATGGTCAAAAACTGAAAAAAAAATACGCCACTTTTTGGCGCTCCGCTGCTCAAACAACGTTTCACTGATCAAAATTCCCTGAAGTCATTTTGATGGTACATGTGTTGAGATGATGTGGAGCGATTTTGAGGCGAATCGGTGAAACGGCCGAGGCTGGTTTGATGTTTGTGTGAGGTGTATATTTGCAATGAATGGGGAGCGTTTGTCGTCGCCACGGCAACAGGGTAAAAAATAAGCCTTGGACCCAATTGACTTTTTGAATCAAGAGGGCAAAACAGATGTATGTGCAAAATTTCAAACATTTTGAAAAAACTAAATTTGAAAATGCCCATTTAAAACTTTGAAATAGTCTGTAGGGGGCGCTAATGTGTCAATTTGAATCATTTAACTTTCAAATGACCTAGACCCTAGAGTTGAACAATGTATTAAAGTTTTGTGAAAATCAGACTTTGTTTGTGCAAACGGGAGCAAATTTAATGTTGTCAAAAACGGCCAAAAAAAGGTCACATTTTGCCGCTCCGCTGCTCGAACAATGTTTCACTGATCAAAAATCCCCGAGGTCATTTTGAAGGTACATGTGTTGAGATGATGTGGAGCGATTTTGAGGCGAATCGGTGAAACGGCCGAGGAGGAGTCGCTTTCCAACCGACATGTATGAAAACTTTTGCTGTTCATTTTTCCATTTTGCAGTGACATTTATGGGCTTCCTGTTTGTCAGAGGGCGGAGCCATAATAATATTTTTTTCTTGTCTTGACTTGAGGAACATGTGTACCGAATTTCATGACTCTACAACAAACTTCATCTTCAGAACTCCCATAGGGGTATTATTTTGGCTGTTGTAGGTGGCGCTGTTCTGGCATTTTTTGAGTCCCATTAAAATAAACACCAAAATATCAAATTTTTCGCCAGGTCTGATTTTTGGGCAAAATTTAACAACTTTTCATGCATATTCAGGGGGTCAAATTAAGGCTCAAAGTGCAGAAGAAAAAAGAAAGAAAGAAAGAAAGAAATAAATTAAAGCCGCAAGCGGCGTCAAACGGCCCTCGCCGCAACGCGCGACTCCCTGCACCGCGCGCACTCCCCGCACCACGCCGCCCCGCACCAAGCCGCCCTGCACCATGCCGTCCCGCACCACGCCGCCCCGCACCAAGCCGCAACGCGCCGCTACACAACGACCCCGCACTACGCCGCACCACACCGTACCACGCAGCACCGCTAAAACGAGGTGGCACCGCCGTGTGATTATTTGTTTCCGTAGCCATAGAAGAATGTTAGTCAAATTGTAATGAATATGATAAGTAGAGCTGGTTTGGCTCCATAGGTAAACTTTGACACAGTCTGTAGGGGGCGCTAATGGGCCAATTTCCAATATTTCACTTTAAACTGACCTAAACCCTGTAATTGAACAATGGATTAAAGTTTTGTGCAAATCAGACTTTGTTTGTGCAAACAGGAGCAAAATTAATGTTGTCAAAAAGAGCCAAAAAAAACCCTCACATTTTGCCGCTCCGCTGCTCAAACAACGTTTCACGGATCAAAATTCCCTGAAGTCATTTTGAAGATACATGTGTTGAGATGATGTGGAGCGATTTTGAGGGGAATCGGTGAAACGGCCGAGGCTGGTTTGATGTTTGTGTGAGGTGTACATTTGCAATGAAAGGGGAGCGTTTGTCGTCGCCATGGCAACAGGGTAAAAGATAAGCCTTGGACCCTATTGACTTTTTGAATCAAGAGGGCAAAACAGATGTATGTGCAAAATTTCAAACATTTTGAAAAAACTAAATTTGAAAATGCCCATCTAAAACTTTGAAATAGTCTGTAGGGGGCGCTAATGTGTCAATTTGAATTAATTCACTTTCAAATGACCTAGACCCTAGAGTTGAACAATGTATTAAAGTTTTGTGCAAATCAGACTTTGTTTGTGCAAACGGGAGCAAATTTAATGTTGTCAAAAACGGCCAAAAAAAGGTCACATTTTGCCGCTCCGCTGCTCGAACAATGTTTCACTGATCAAAAATCCCTGAGGTCATTTTGAAGGTACATGTGTTGAGATGATGTGGAGCGATTTTGAGGCGAATCGGTGAAACGGCCGAGGAGGAGTCGCTTTCCAACCGACATGTATGAAAACTTTTGCTGTTCATTTTTCCATTTTGCAGTGAAATTTATGGGCTTCCTGTTTGTCAGAGGGCGGGGCCATAATAATATTTTTTTCTTGTCTTGACTTGAAAAACATGTGTACCAAATCTCATGTTTCTACGACAATTTTGACCTCCGAAAAGTCCCATAGGGGTATTATTTTGGCTGTTGTAGGTGGCGCTGTTCTGTCATTTTTTGAGTCCCATAAAAATAAACACCAAAATATCAAATTTTTCGCCAGGTCTGATTTTTGGGCCAAAATTAACAACTTTTCATGCATGTTCAGGGGGTCAAATTAAGGCTCAAAGTGCAGAAGAAAAAAGAAAGAAAGAAATAAATTAAAGCCGCAAGCGGCGTCGAACGGCCCTCGCCGCACCGCGCGACTCCCTGCACCGCGCGCACTCCCCGCACCATGCCGCCCCGCACCAAGCCGCCCTGCACCATGCCGTCCCGCACCACGCCGCCCCGCACCAAGCCGCAACGCGCCGCTCCACAACGCCCCGCACTACGCCGCAGCACCGCTAAAAGGAGCTGGCACCGCTAAAAGGAGCTGGCACCGCCGTGTGATGATTTGTTTCCGTAGCCATAGAAGAATGTTAGTCAAATTGTAATGAATATGATAAGTAGAGCTGGTTTGGCTCCCCATGTAAACTTTGACACAGTCTGTAGGGGGCGCTAATGGGCCAATTTCCAATATTTCACTTTAACCTGACCTAAACCCTGGAATTGAACAATGGATTAAAGTTTTGTGCAAATCAGACTTTGTTTGTGCAAACAGGAGCAAAATTAATGTTGTCAAAAAGAGCCAAAAAAACCCTCACATTTTGCGGCTCCGCTGCTCAAACAACGTTTCACGGATCAAAATTCCCTGAAGTCATTTTGATGGTACATGTGTTGAGAGGATGTGGAGCAATTTTGAGGTGAATCGGTGAAACGGCCGAGGCTGGTTTGATGTTTGTGTGAGGTGTACATTTGCAATGAATGGGGAGCGTTTCTCGTCGCCACGGCAACAGGGTAAAAAATAAGCCTTGGACCCTATTGACTTTTTGAATCAACAGGGCAAAACAGATTTATGTGCAAAATTTCAAACATTTTGAAAAAACTAAATTTGAAAAGGCCCATCTAACATTTTGAAATAGTCTGTAGGGGGCGCTAATGTGTCAATTTGAATTAATTCACCTTCAAACGACCTAGACCCTAGAGTTGAACAATGTATTAAAGTTTTGTGCAAATCAGACTTTGTTTGTGCAAACGGGAGCAAATTTAATGTTGTCAAAAACGGCCAAAAAAATGTCACATTTTGCCGCTCCGCTGCTCAAACAATCTTTCACTGATCAAAAATCCCTGAGGTCATTTTGAAGGTACATGTGTTGAGATGATGTGGAGCGATTTTGAGGCGAATCGGTGAAACGGCCGAGGAGGAGTCGCTTTCCAACCGACGTATATGAGAATGATTGGTTTTCATTTTTCCATTTTGCAGTGAAATTTATGGGCTTCCTGTTTGTCAGAGGGATTAGCCATAATTACATTTTTTCCATGTCTTGACTTGAGGAACATGTGTACCAAATTACATGGTTCTACAAAAATTTTGACCTCGAACCCCTCCCATAGGCATTTTTAAATTGGCTGTTGTAGGTGGCGCTATAGAGCCAATTTCAAAATTCTAACTTTCAAATGACCTAGACCCAAGAGTTGAAGCATGGA